AAGGACGCCGCGTTCGTACGGATTTGAGTGCTCAGTAGAGTCTCATGAACATACCTGAGGGCGCCCCATGGGTAAGCAGATGTATAAATACGCAGAACAGGCAGTATAGAGCAGTAGACCGGATCTGATGACATGTGTCACATTTTGATTGATATTGTACCAACCTCCACTAGTAGACTGTCTAAATGGAGTAGAATACATATACTTTGACATATTAAGTTGTTCCCCATCGCTCATGATACGAAAACGAGCTGCGATCCGTTGATCAAACTCTTACAAGCCAGATGACATTTTTAGAGTACCTCGCCCTTCACGGGCTCATCTGAGGTCGATCTATCCTCACCATGCTGCGGATTATATGCGTATGCTAGCATTGCGTGAGATCCTGCGGTCTGAAACCTTACAGATGCCTGTATGGAGTATTCACGCAAGCCTTTCGTCGATGAACTGCTAGTATCCAGCATTGCCCCTCTGCTCATTCCCTATGCATTCCCGCGCCATATTACCCATATGGGCGCCCTCAGGTATGTTCATGAGACTCTACTGAGCACTCAAATCCGTACGAACGCGGCGTCCTTGTCGCTCTATCGCTCGCAGGCCAGTTCACACCAGCCAATCGGTAGCTGCTCGCAAACTCGGTCGAATCTTCTCGTTTTTGCTGGGGCGCCCTGGCCCCGCTCTATACCTCTACGTGACACTTTGAATCTAGAAGATCGGTGAGGGTGCGCGGGTGCAGCGCCCCGCGGAAGATGCAGGTCGGAAGATTCACGACGCGCGGGAAAATCGCGTCGCGGCGCGTCTCCGCCAATTGACTCGAAAACGGCAATAAGAGCGAGTGGCGGGCGCTTATTGATTGATGTGCGGGCTTCTCTCTGACCAGATGGGGATATGTATGCTCTGTTCAGTCGGGCGCGTCTATCATGAATACATCGAAGCGGCTGAGCCGAAGCAACCCTGACCCACGACGTCGAACCTCAGTCGTCCTGGTCATCCCGAATCGTTCGTTCATGACAATGATGGGAGGCAGGCGTCGATGGTTGCACTGAAGTCTGGTAAGGTCACATCAGACAGGCGGCATGCGCTAGGATGGAGGGTCGGAGGATGTGACCGGGTGTCTAAGTCAAGTTTTGAGAAGTATATCTTCAGGGATCGCATCAGGCGCGCGAGAGTGGTGGGTGTGAAGTCTACACCTTCGACATCGACGCGGCGAATGGAAAGGCACGAGGTGCTGGCTTTGAGCACGAAAGCTTCTGGAAAACCATCGATGCTGTCATACAGCACGACATTCTCCAATCGACGAAGACCCGCCAGGATCCTCGCCCAAGCCAGACGTCGTGGATCAGTGGATCCGGTATCGACTGAGAAGAGCCGGGGGTGGATATTGCGCAGCTCCGAGACCGCACGATGAGCCGAAGGCCAGTTCTCGAGGATATGGCATACGATCGCCAGACAAACGGGATCCACGTTCTCGTCGTCGTTGTGGGATGGGAGAAAGCCGAGACGAAAATTTGCTGAGATTTGCCTTGTTGTTGACTGGCTCCATGTCATAGATACCCCCTCGACGGAACCATCTTGAAAGGGGTCGACATCGAGTCTTCTGAATCCGGCATCGGGTTCGTTATCCGGAAATAGCGTGCGGAAACGTTCACCGAAGGCGTCGTCCAACGCCGGAAGCAGGGCATCCATATCCGTCGCGGTGATGCTGTCAAGGTCTGCATCGACGATGATTCCACAAGAGGGCGGGATCACGATGTAGCGGAAGAAGTACGTGGCGATTTCGACGCGTACACGAAGGTTGAGGTCGCTAAGACGCGGCAGTCGGACACTTTGAGGCGTTCGCCCTTCGTAAGCAGAGAGTGGAGCAGGTGTGAACGGTATTCTGTCGTCGTCCATTGAGACTATCGCGATCCAAAGGAACTCCTCCAGGTGGGGGAGTTCAGACAAAGTCTGTAGCGCTTCCTCCATGGAATTCCAAATAGGGCAATCGTAGAGCTTCAGAGACGTAAGCGGTGCTCGAAGCGCAGGGCAGGTAGGCAGAATGGCGCAAGAGTACACGTCTACGTTTGTCAGAGCCCGAGGTACCTCGCCGGAGAAAGTGTCCTCGTCAAGTACCGCAGGTATGAGAGAAGTGCCATCTATGTCCAGTTTTTCGAGTCTGGGCAACGGCAGGGCTAGCAAAGCTTCGAGCTCGAGGTCGAGACTGTCCGCCATCCCATCGTCGAGTGAAATGGTCAAGTTACGAATTCGATGTCGTTCCGCCAGAATCGATTGTTTCGACGACTCCTAGTCCTCGTGCATCGCGCGTGTGCGCGAGGGCTGCGTACCGCTAGATCGAAGGAGCGATTCATGGACCATCGAAGTGCCATACGCGTCCATTCCGACCCATATGAGCCTATGACTTCCGGCCAGATTTCGGGGGTACTCTCGGCAACCGCTTTCCAACGACGAGAAGTCGAACGAAGTAGTAGAGCTTGGGGATGCGCTGGACGGGTATCCAAATCACCCGCCAGACAACGGAAGATATGTGACAGGATTTCGGTGGGGATAATCTGGATGGGAGCAGGTACAGGATGCATCTGCATGAAGATGTCAATATCTTGCATGGACGCGAGTTGTTGCATATCCGCACCTTTACAAAGCAGAAGCGGTGAAGATTGCACTATCCCGGTCATGGATGGACAGTACTCCTAGCGTGGCTGAAGCTCGAGTAGTAAGCTAGTATATCTTCGACGGATGGTGGACGTTCATTCAAAGTTGGAGCAAGACGCGCGTGCTGACACTGGACGTCTGGACGTCCGCGCTGGCTCCGCCAATTACTCGCGCCAACCATCATTGAAGATCATTGAGCGGGGGACACGACCGATGACTGCGGCGGTCGACAAGTACTCTTACAGGGACACTTCGCGCGTCGTTCCCACAGATTGAATCGGCAAGCTAGCAAGCTAGCTGTCGCACCATAAGCGAGTACTGGATCTATATCTTTGACCTCATTGGAGTACTGCGTCTGTGCGCTATGACATCGGCGCGTTGATAGCTGCAAGACCACGGCCTCTATGTACCCGAATGCCGCTACCTAAGGGATGGGTATAGAGGGTGTCTCCCAAGAAGACAGGCGATCCAAAAATTGTGGCACAATGGCGCAGATGCACACCCACCCTACGCCACCACGGTCGCGCGGTGACCACAGTACTCCGCTGTCACCCAGCGTAAGGCTCGACACACGTGATATGTCCGATGGGATAATGCGCGAAAAGTGTCTGAATGGCCGTCTAACCGAGCTCCCGCGCAAAGACACGGCCGGGACGACCGACGTGCTTGGTCAACTGCCAGCCTCGTCGCGCAATATCCCGTATGAACTCTGACATGTGAAGTAGCCGATACCGGAGCAGGTGGGAGTACGACTGCCGTCAAGCAGTTATGGCTGTGGTGGGTGGCCGTACGTGCCAGTGCGGTACGCGTCGCCGGGACGCTCAGAACGAAAGTGTACCAGGCTGAGAGGAGGCTTATATAGGCTTGTACGTGCCTCTGATAGGCGCCAGCTCGAATCTCGGGTTCTCAGAGGCCTTTCTATCAGACTCCAGGAGTAGTCGAAGCGCCTCCTTACTGGAAGGAGGCTTACTACTTGCTACTGGAAGCGCGCTCCTTCTATGTTGGATCATAGGGGCCGTGTATCCTACAACACGTTGCGGGACAGGATAGGTATCTGTCACTCGTAAGGACATGATGGTGCGTTTTCCCGGGGCCCGATGCGGGAGGTGCAAATGCTGGACGCTTGAGCGCTGAAGCTTTGAGCCTTTGACACCGGTATACTGTGAAGGTCAAATTCATGTCTTGCGTATGGCGCCCTACTGGACACCATAGTAAAGTAGCGGCGAAACATTCCGAGAACGAATGGTTTTCAGTAAGATAGGTCAACATCGTGGAAGACGAGATGCATCGGCGTCGTGTACAACCGCGCGCGCGCTCGTCGCGTAATACCATCACCGAGCTCTTCGACTTCGACGTCCATGACCGCCCACAGCATTCTCATGCTCGACTAACAAGCCCTGGACGACTACCACAACGCAAATGCTAGGCATTCGGCTACTGCTCTGGACTGCAAATATCTTCTCAGAATTTGTCTCAGCTCCGCGGGAAGGCCAACACAAGCCCAATATGCCGGATCGCGCGCCCACCTGACTTGTCTCTGAAGCGACGCGTCGGCGTCAGAGGTGCTCCGACTGTCTCAACCTCTCGCGTTTCAGACCGACTCAGACTGGAAATGCGTATATCCTCGCGCCTGTATGGGCTGCTCTCCATATCCGTACCACTCACTAGCACTTCACCCAGCAAGATCGCGCACTCTACCCTTCACAATGCCTACCAGCGCTACATTACCCAAGACCAACTCGGGCTTCTTCGTTTACGGGATCAAGAGCATGCATCGCGCTTTCCGTGCCTCAAGCGCTCCGTCTACACCTACTCGAACCACCGAGGCTAAGCCGAAGCAGTCGTCATCGTCTTTCCTGCGTACGATAACGAACGTCGGCGTGCAAGTCCTATTGCCCAGACCCGCATTGCCCAAGCCTCCCGTCTCAAAGGATGCCGCCATCATCAGCACATCGACCAAGTCTTCAGCACGTATCACCAAAGCGCCGATTGCACCCAAGCCAGAGCCTTTCGCGCGCAAGCCGCTGCCGTCGTTCAAGACGCCTTCTCCGCCACGCAAGGTTCCCGTTCTACGTATGACTCCCACATCCGGTGCTCGGAAGACCTGCCCCACGATCGTTCCGACGTGCTCGCCCGCCCGTGCTCCGATTTTGCGCCGCGCTATCCGGTCGCCGTCCCCCAGAAAGTCAGTACGCTGGGAGATGGACTCGACGTGCAGCTCATCGCCGTCGCCCGTCTTTGATTCAGCGCCTGTCTCACCCGTGTCAACGGCGCCTTCGACTCCGGAGCCCAGGCATAGGCCTGTGATAAACGTCGTGGGCACATCCCGTTCGTGCAAGAAGGCTCAATCCCCGCCCATTGTGTCTACGAAGGCAGCGATGGCGAAGGTCGCGACCAAGGTACGCTACATCGCTACAGGCTCACGAGTTTACGCTGACCAGACCAATAGGTACCACAAGTCGCAACATCGCCCAAGAAGATGAAGACCAAGTCCTCAGTGAACAAGGAGAACGTCATGCCCCGGGTGATCACCGCCCAGGGACCAGCCAAGCGCGAGCTAGTTATCGTGAGTACAAGCTACATTCGGTTCTGAGTCTCGCTCACCGTTATGCTCTACAGGCCGAGCAAGGCTCACAGTCGTCCGTCGCGCATACAGCGCTTGTACAGGACCTGACTTGGGCTCTGCAGAAACCCCAAACAGTCATCGTCACGGAGAACACCCCCTTCGGCCCGCGTCGCGTGCGCCGTGTTGTCGTCCCCGACTACACCGGCTCGCCCGCTTCCGCGGATCCGAACATCCAGCGCGAGATCACCGCTCTTCGCACACAGGCTCGCGTCGCCGCGCCCTCTGGGGTCGAGCACGGAGTCACCGAGCAAGGTGTCTCGCTGCGCGCACTCGAGATCATCAACCGGGTGCGCAGGGAACGTGGACAGGAGCCGCTGAAGACCGTCCCGCGTAACATGGTCGCTACAAGAGCTTGATGAGGGGTCGAGGACGGCATTTGCTGTTCTTGACGGACTCATCATCTGTGGCAGACCCTACGCACCAGCGCCCATCTTTGATACCCTTCCACCGCTTGCTGGATCTCTCTGCTCTGTTGCCCATCTTTCTGCTTGTTCATACCTGCCTCGGCCGATCCAGATACCTACAGCTCTCGCATTCCCGCATGATACCTTCTCTATGTTCTCGTCTTCCATACCTGCCATCGTACTATACCACACGCACGCTTCCACCCGGACGGATACGGACAAGTCTAGGATTGTCATGCCACAATTACGTCTATATAGCATCGAGGCCTGCACTACATTGTCTACATTATTTGCATTTGTCATCGATGTGACGTCTGCAGCAAGTCCTCTACAAACGAAGCAAAACTCTCGGAGATCTCGTCGGGCGACCTGATGCCTTCCTTCTTCTCAACTCCCGGGCGATACTTCCCTGTTTGCACTATATCGTTACCATCAGTAATGCTGACATCCGCAAAAGACCAGGCGATGCGCACCTAATACCCTCCATAGACCAAGCTCGGCCGCGCCACCACCAAGATCGCTTTCCACGTCGTCTCCGATGATCGCTATACTTCTATTCCGTTCATAGTCATCGATGTCTAATACGTTATCTGTCTCGTTGAAGCTGTTGATGACCGTTTGGAAGAATGACCGTGCTGGCTTGCCGACTATCTCAGCGGAACTACCAGATGCATGCTCTAGCGCAGTCACGAAAGGTCCAAGAGCCATAGATAGCGCGCCATCGGATCCTTGCAAGATACGAGAACGGTGAGTAACTAGAAGAGGTGCACGTTCGCGTCCATCGCCGAGCTTGGCGGAGAACTGTGTGTCATGCTGAGATGTATGTTCTCCGACAAGCACCCTGAATGCGGCATCGAGGTACTCGTATGACAATTGGGATGGGGCAAAGGCCATCACGACGGCGTCGTGAGGTTGTGACTCGTCGGGATGATCATCAGGCAGGTGGTGTATGATATCCTCTTTCGCGGATTCAGAGGCAAGAATGAGCGGCCTGACATTGGGGCTTCAACTGGGGCGTGCAGGCTGCAGGAGCAAAACGAGCGTGCCTGCGGATGCCTCTCTGTCTCAATACCCCGCCGATGACCCCAATGCTAGTCCACAGCTCTTCGGATCGGATACCTCCCTCCCCACTGAAACCCATAGCCTCTAATCGCTTGCGCATGCTCTCGGTACTCTCTTTGCTCGTATTTGAGCAGAATCGGAAGGGAATGTTGGCTGCCCGTAGACGACCGAGGGCGTGCACGGCACCCGGGGTTGCTTCGTTTCCGACATGCAGCGTCCCAGAAAGATCGATGAGCAAAGCACGCAGAGGGGGACGAGCAGGCATGATATACGGTGCGAGGTGCGAGAGCGCTACGAAGCGGCTGCCTGACGATGATGGTCGAAGACAAGATACTAGGTGTTCGCAACATGTGCGGAATCCGTTGATGTATGACGTCAGGGCGCTCACGCAACATCCAATTGTGGCCCAAGTCGGCCGCGATACTTGGTGATAAGATAAGATAAGGCTTCGGGTCTGGGATGTTGTTTTATGAATACAGTATTTCTTCGTCGAACCGGTTCATGTTCTCTGAACATTAAAGGGGAAGCATGGTCACCTTTAACGGAAGGCTTGGCTTGCCGTCGACAGTGGGCGTAGCAAAGTTATACATGCACCATTGAATGTCAGCGCTCGCTGGAGGCTCGAATTTGAACCGCGATATCAGAACGTGCAAGACGACCTCTACGAAAGCGAGAGCGCACGTCAGCTTCAACGACTATCCCTTCGGGGCATTATAATATACTTACTGATCTCGGCCTCTGCGAACTTGAAGCCGATACATGATCTCCCACCTCCCATGAACGACATTCTGCGACGGGGTTAAATACGGCGAAAACCATCCCGATCATCACGCACAAGTTCCCATACACAGATGGCAGATGCGCATCCGTAACACTCTTCGGCAGTGGATCCAACCAACGTTCCGGGATCCATTGCTCGGACGTAGGTCCCCAGATGAGGGGATCTCTATTCACGGCAGTAGCTCCTATGACTATGAACGTGCCGGCTTCGACTAGAAGCTCTCCTACGGCTGTCCCGTCTTTGCCTATGATGGGTCGGCCAAGTGGCACCGTCACATCCCGTCGCGAGCTAGGCAAGTTCATGCGTAAGTAGCATCTTGAAAGTTTGAAAGCGCAAGACCTACACTCTATGAAGCTGCGTGACCGGAGAGTAACTAGCGATATTCAACGCTTGCACGGTCATAATTGAAGAGCACATACAAGCGCAGGGTCTCTTTGCAAACAGCATCTAGATAAGGTAGCTGGGAGAGGACTTCGTAAGCCGATATGTGGTGATCTCCCACGCTTCGTAGCTCTTCGCGTAAGCAATCCTGGCAACGCTGGTCCAAAGCCAGTACGTGCAGTATACGAGCCAGGGCAACAGAGGTCGTATCCTGTCCTGCGAACATCAGAGTTCTAGGGGAGACTGAGTGATGTTCGGACTTTCGGTGTTGCAGACATAGAGCGTACCCGATCTGCGATATCATCTCTTCATCTGTATTGCGTTGGCATTCTGGCCCATTGTTGTTCTCGTGAACTGAACCATGCATCAAACCTGGCGCTGCGCAAGAAGAAAGGAACGGGCACTCACTCAAGAAGCTCAGGGCATCATTCCCATGTGCGGCAGGTTTGTCGTCAGCCCGTACCTCACGCTTTCGTCTTCGATACAACGCCGCATTGGTGTCAAACAGGAAGTATGAGATGTCGCGCAGCTTGCGTATGCTGGCAATTGGTGCGCACGCAGTCAAAGCTCCCAAGAACTTTGGCGATCCGAGTTTGACGACAAGGGGGATTGCGCGCATGAAAGCTTGGAGTGAGAACGATAACGGTCTACCCGAAGTTAGTGATAGGCATGGGTTGATGATAGCGAGCGGTTGTTGCGACTGACATTAACTGCTTCGCTGCTACCATATACTCATTTGGATGGGAATCTGCTTTCAGAGCATCGAAGGATACGCCCATGCCCGCTTGTGCTATGCATTCCAGAGCGCATCGCGATGCCCAGTGCATCATGTCGAGTTCCGCGGGACCGAAACGGACCTGATCGCGGAGGGTGGCCTCCACCTGTCGAAATGAGCACCAATAAGTGGCATTCGAGGGGCTGTTGAACCTTTCTAACTACATGGTACAACATGGGTGTCATTGATTTGATGCGCTTCTCCGAAAAGGCAGAGAATGCGAGGGTTCGTTGACGTTTGTGGGCCAAACCTGCAAGGGGAAGGTTCGAAGGTGATTCAACGGTGCGTTCACCCGGCGACGAGACGTACCGGTCGAGGAGAGAAGCCCGGGTCCCCATAGAAGTTTGTTTCGCCTAGATCTATTTGAGCAAGTTGACTCCTTCAGAGATGGTTCAAACGCACTCGATGATCATGGGAGGCTCGTCAAAACCGTCGCCATGTTCTTTCACAAGGATAGCACGGAGGGCTACAGGATCCGTGACATAGAGAATATCCTCCTGGAAAAGGCATCCTATCACCTCGGGTAGCTGTGCGAAACAACGTGCGTTGCATGCTTACCCCCAGATAACCACGTAACCGCACAGCAGATCCATAGCTAGGAACTTCTTTCAGGTGGAAGTCCCATCCTTGACGGTCGTATAGCTGCCTCGTGTGACCTGTTGCGGAGTGTCAGCTTCATAAGACACGATGTAGGCGGGCATACCTCGAAGCCAGGAGTAACCGCCGGGTCCGGGCAGATTCGCTAAGGAAGATTTGAAGAAGTGCCGGCGTGCAATGTAATGTATGGCCAGTAGAAATGCCAGAGCGGCTATGGCGGAAAGGGCATCCGACCAGCTCATACTGACTGACAACGGCTGGAAGATGTCAATGGTGCTCTTTCGGTCGAGTCTCAAGGCGCGTGCCACAGAGGCGCATATTGACCCACACCGTCTTATACGGTGCCACTTACGCGAGATACGTCGCGGCCGAGCAAGAAGCGAGCTCTTGACATGATGGCTGCTTCAAAAACACAGCGCCCGTTGACGTTCACCCACTGAGGCACCGCAGTCGAACTTATACGACTCCGAGTCTGCGACTCAACCTCTTTACCACCCACCAAAACGTTAGACGACATGACGCATTTTCGAGTCGATCGTCTGAACAATGAGAGTGTATTGGACGTGGTTGAGCGTCGTCGTGGCAGGAGGCGCGCAAGGCTGTACGACGCAAGGATCGGACCGGATCACTCCGGTACTCTTGATTTGGCACGATGTTCTCACACTTGCCAGCGCTAGTACAAGCCAATTCGACTTTAGCGCGCACTCGCCCTGTGTATAGGGCTGCATTGTACCCAGGCTGCGCCCCTAAGATAGCGCTATACTAGCGTTCGGCCACTAGCCCAGCCACTTTCATGATCTCGGCACGGTTCAACGTGGAAATAATATCATCAGCAGGTAGCGTACAGCGTCTTACAGTAGAAGACGGGAGGCACGTATATAGTCGTACAATGCACTAGATCGTACAGAGGTGTTACAAAGGGACTTGATAGAGAGAATCGAGGCTGCGAGGGGCATGACGATGGATCGGATGGCGTGTGTAGTAGCGCAGAAGCATGATAGCATCTTGATAGGGGCGCGATCAGTTCGGGCGCCTCGTCGAAGACGGAGATGTGTGGCGTACCGTGAACACAGTACAACAAGCGAGACGGTGAGGTTGGTACAAACGGCCCTCAGGCCTTAACCATGGTAGAATGAGCTCAACTTTGGGAGCGAGAGCCTGCACTTTGCGATGTATTAGCTGAGAACGCTTCGCCTTTTCAGAGTGAAGCCACGCACGTCCACGAAGTTGCAGCCGCGAGCACCGCAGTGAGCATGCGCATTTGCTCAATAGCCTTTTGACCGACCCGTACGACAGCGGGAGTGTCCTCGTATGACGCCTCCAGCGAAGGGTGCTCGTAGATATCGAAGAGCATGGTGTAGATGTGGGCTGGTGGCGAAGAGGGAGAGGTCGGTAAGCATCCCCGGTGATACCCTGGCACCTTTTATCTGATGCTAGCTCGAACCTTGTAGACGAACAGGCTCCGGAACGAAGAGGGTTTGGGCGGCTAGCTCCGGTGCTCCCTGATGAGCGGCTTGCGCCCTCGCGCCGCGGCGAGGTTCCGAGGCAAACAAAGGGAGGAACGGACCCGCAATCTGGCCCTGCCCCTTCATTCGACGCTAAAAGCAGCGCCACAGACTGAGCACGGGCTCGAGCTACCTTTAGGTTGATTCGTACTCGGTCACGAGCTGCGTCCCTCCGATGTCTCATTATTATTTGTTGTCGGATAGACAATTGTGTCCATGAAAGCGCGTGTCTGAGATTGAACGGTATGGTCGGAATGATCATTCACGAATAAGAATCGGTCGAGTTCCGCTTGCGAGCGATGGTCGTAGCCGCACGCGGAGCGAATATAGGTAGGGCCCCACTAATCGGCTAGCCAACACGTAAAACGTGTGTATGCGCGATGCACAGTTCCATTCACGCCCGCCGCACCCGGGATAGCGGCATAAACGCACCGGTTTATCAGTTGAATGGTCCACAAGAGCTGCGCTACAGCTGCTAGATTCGACATCAGGCATAAGCCTCCGATAGACCGCTATGCGGCGCAGCTAGGCATGAATGAGTGCACTACACGAAACACCCTTGGCGCGACGGATATCAAAGGCTGGATATCCATGCGGATAGCAAGGGGCGTCATGCTCATCCGGGCATAGTTCGTGCCGTAGTCCGGCGGAGAAGGCGGGTACACATAGTGAAGAAGTGAGAAGACTGAATGCATGGATGGCCAAACAAGGTATAGGTATCCGCTGATCCCTTCCTTACGCACGTAAGTCGAGAGTCCCATGAGCGAAGGGTGGGATATTTTACATACAGTTCTGAACTTCCGTCAACGCCAATCTTGAGCTAGACAGATCTCCACAGGCCTTTCAACGACACATAGCAACTGCATCGCAGGTATCGCAGATTATTGGCTGCGTTCGGACGACATTCAACACGCTAGTTCGGGCGTTGCATGTGGCACCGGGACGTTCATCTGCACGAAGATATGCGGGGATGTTGCGCCCTGTCGATCCTTTCGTCATCTAATGAGTACAAGACGCGTGATATCATGACAAATACGTACGAGAACCCCGCGTCGGAGCGGTAGGCCTCGCCGGTCAGCGTATGTCCGCATTAGTAACCACGGCGCCGTACTCAGCAGCGCCAATACTTCTGTACAAACTGATGGAAAGGTTGAGAATGCCATGCGGCTCA